AAAAAGTGTGCGATTTGACGTGGAATGGCCCAAATATAAATTTTATTCCGCCATCAAAACATCAAGTTCATGTAAAAAACAAGTACACTAATCCTTACCAGGTGATGGGCCTCCAGGGCCACCACTTCCAGGCCATCTTCTAGGGCCATCACCGCCCCCACTGCCTCCTCGATAACCTGATCGCGGTTGTCCCCGATCTCTACTATCACCCAAAAACGGATCAAATAATGATTTGAAACTGAAATACCTTTTCGGTGTTATCATAGCTTCTAAACTTTCGTTAAGCTTTATTATTAATGACGCCGTCATCCACAGTTCAGCTCCATTAATTTTAAAAAAAAAGTCGTTTACTAAAAAAAACTTAAAAAGTTAGTAAAAACCGTGCTGAATGAAAGTCATAACTTGTCATAATTAGCAACCGGTTTAGGCTTCAAAACTCACAAGAATAAGAAGGCGCCGAAAACATTCGTTAGTATTTGAAAAAAAGAAGTATGAGCTTGGACAAGGTTCCCACCTGTAACGAGAAACGCACTCTTAAGCATAAGGTTCAATATTGAAATAAAAATAGTCTTGAAAACCTCTAACCTGAGGAACTCCTTCACAACAAAAAACTTTTCATAGAACGGTCTTAAAGAATTGTCTGTAATTTCCCAGCAACTTACGTCGACAAAACTCATTTTTTATTTTTGTTGCACAGTAAAAAAAATTTATTGCTTCAGAGCCTCTCAATGACCCCTCAAACTTGGACTTGTCCCCGAAAGTCAAATCATTTACAAGAAATTTTCAGACACACTGAAAAGGGAAAAAAAAAGTAAAAAACCCAAACAGCTATTAGTATGTAGCAGAAAAAAAAGGTGAAAAACTATAAGAAAAACTGTTCTGCAAATCTCCTGAATATCTGCAAGCTACAATGCGAAGTTAGAAGAAACTTACTTGCATCTACGTAAGCCATCTGCAGGTGCCTCGACGCTGAAAAATCGGCTCATTTAAATGACTTAATTATTAATAATAAAACCAACAGTGATGAAAATCGAAATTCACAAGTACAACAAAAACTTTTTGCAGAAACCTTCGGAACAACAGCAAAAACTACACATTAAATTCAATGCTCTTCTTAAAAAGTTCGCAAATGTTGCAGGGCAAATAGAGGATTAGAAGTCGTACAAATAGGCCGAATTAAGTAGAAATCAGTTCCGACTTGTAAACGAATCGGTCTTTGCAACAGAATGATAGCCATATTAAGAACAAAAACACGAAGTGAAAGTTCAATCCCTTTACACCCGTTCAGCTTCTACAGATACCGTTTTAAGGATATCGAAACTGTTGCTCTTTTATTTAAAAATGCTTAAATCAAATCTCATGTCACCTCTCTTCAACTACCTGCTTACACTTTTTTTTTTTGCAAAGATTTTCCGTGCACCTCATGGTATAGTAAAACTTAGTAGGTCACCCATCCATTTCCTCTGCTGTTCACTGTCCTAATATTGAATGACTTCGTTTTCTTTATATCCTCTTATGGACTATGTGGGTAACGGGTGGTCCCGAAACGTTGCTAGGAAATTAATTATCCTTTTTGTGAAGTATCCAAATAATTAACAAACAGGCAAAAAGCCTAAAGCTTTTCTGAATTCTTTTTCCCTCATCTTCCTACATTCATTTAGTCATGTAGTTCCGGGTAAATTTTTTTTCATTATTTTCGTTACGAAATTGATGATTATCTGCCAACAAGTAAAGAACATACAGCAAAAAAAGTCCATTTGCAAAATGTCAGACACGCGTTACACTTCGTCATCAACAGTGCTCATCGCGCATTAAAGAAAACAAAAAAAAAAGTATAAAAATAAAAAAAAAGACTTACTGGACGCTAGAAACTGGAAAATAGAAACTTAGAAATTATGCTCCCTGAAAACAAATCACGCGGATTCAGCTAACGCGAAAATCAAAGGTGCTAAAAACGTAAAAAATTGCTGACGATCACAACCGATTTTTCGAAGCAGCAGATTAGAGGAAAATAATATTATCTAAAACATAAAACTAAATCCTCCTCAAGTTCCAAATGAGTGCTGTACCACCACAAGCCTTGATATGAAGCTGTCAGAGAAAAAACCCGGCAAAAGAAATACAACCACTAAAACTTAAGTACCAGCTTCTTTTTCTGAAAATCACAACAGGTTTCTTCGAAAAGCTAACTTTTAAATTTCTAAAAAAAAATGTATGTTCACTGACCCTCATTCGAAGTCAAATGACCGCACGAAACGCACATTCTCAAACGGTAGAAGGCTGAGGATTAAAGAAACCCTTAGAGTTTCAAAGAAAGACCTTTACACAAAATCAAAGACAACACCAGCACAACACCACCTTCACCGACAAATGGCTAAATCACGCGTATAGATCAAGGCTTCGTGTCGCATTAAAAACTAGTGTTCAACAGACGACGTACGACTTCGTCACAAGTACAAACAATCGTGACAGGAATCGTTCGCTTCCAAATATACAATTTACTGTATGTCAATGTCATTGGTTGCTCTTCTTCCTTTGCACTCCTACACGGAAATTTGTCTGTTCCCGGCAAGGCGTAAGCGACATGCAGCATTTGCTCGCCGGGATTTTACTTCGAGCTATCTGGATGTCCAGGGTTCATGCAGCTGTGGTGCAGTCTTTGTAATATTCAGTCCATAAGGATTTGGTATGTTGGCATCCACGTCCAGGTCCAATAAATATTATTTTCTAAAGATTTTTGCAAGTAGCTCCTTGTCGCAACCATGCGCAAAAGCCATAAACAAATACTTTGATGCCACTGTACGCTACCCGAAAGAAAGCTTTGGGAGGAGCGGCAGACTTGACTAGAGATCAAGGGTCGGGAGTCATAAAGGGATAAAGTACTCAAAGTACTCACAATTTTTTGTTGTCATTGATTAATTGAATCGAGTCTTGCCTTGAATTCTATTGATTGCTTTTCAAAATCGGTATAATTTATCTTCTTCTTCTCAACATCCTATCAAGTAATTCGTTGGAGACAGCTTTAATTGTTATAGTTATGCAGTTTCTTTTACTGGATTATATTTTATCTAAGGCGCCTTCACGTTGTATTTCCCTTCTTTTGTTAATTAATTGCTTTTCGTTCATTAGTTTAATTTCGTATTTCCTGTTTGATTGATTTGTGAGCACTTTACAGTTGTCAGTAATTTTCCAGTAAATAAATAAATAGCTAGTATTAATCTTGTGTTGTACATAAGGCGACCGTTAAGTTTGTAGCGCCTAAGATTTGGATTTAACAATTAGTCAATCGCTGGTTTAAGACCTTTTCTTGTAGATCGAAGACCTTGAGGTTTGAGATCTAAAGATTAGAATAAGCAGCTACTGGCCGGTTCTTTGAGGCTTGGGGCTAACTGTATCCACAATGAAAGTAGATAAGGAAACAAGTACCCAATACGGCATAGTAGAAGGCCAACACAGTATCTTTCATTTTTGAAAGATTTGTCAGTTACCCGTGACACTCCTTGCTTCGCAAGATTTTGCTATTCCAGTTTTTCGTGATTTCTAGACCTATAAGTCTGCCATTAAAGATCCTTGTCAGTGCGCTTCCAGTTTCTGCTCCGTAAACCCTCATGCTTGCGATGGGTTTTTGCATATTACAAAATTTTTTAAATAACTATTCCTTATACTGAATCCTCGTCTCTGCAAATTTTTATTTAAAACCCTCTCCGAAAAATGATCCAAAATATTGGCACCAATCGCCACTAAATCAGTCATTTACTGCGGCTGCATTCTAACCGAATATCCTCTAACAAAAAATATATATCTATTTTTAAATGGTTTTCGGTTTTCTGATGATATTTAGAATGCCTGATTGTATCAAGTTAGTATTATTCCCCGTTGCGCTTAAAGAATTGTCTAGACATTCGTACATCACCTGAAAGTTAGCAAAAATTTACTCCAAGTTACTGACGTATTTCTTGTTAGTTTAATGGAGTCATCCTTCTCTTAAATTACAAGACTTGTAAAGTTTTTCTATTCTTTAAACTTAATTTTCAATAGCTAACAGTTTACAAGAGGTTTCTAAGCTCCAAGGTTTCTTTTGATGGCACTAGTGGCAAACTATAGATGGTACTTGGATTCCTGCAGACTAACGAAAGAAGAAACGAAAAGGTAGATAATCTTCAGGTGTGAGTGACAAGATCCAAAATGTGAACGTTGTTAAAGCTAAACCGTACAGACATTCTAAAGGCAATGAAGCATCCATATCCTTCCTGCATTGAACGTTTGGATGCTGGAGCTAATCGAAAGTCCTACAAATTCTTTATCAACTCAGAAAGCCCATGTTCAGGGATTCTTAAAAGTGCAGTTTGCAATTAATTTGTGAGGGATTTGCAAACTGATAAACCAGGAAAAAGCGAAAGAGAGAAAAGTCATCTTTTAGACAAGTTACTCGACTGGTCGAAGTATGCCAGTATCATAGGATTACTTTTGCAAACGCAGTAAATAGTGAGGCAGAAAACCAAAGACAAGACCAGTTTATCGCTATGGTTCTCAAACTTTAGCTATACTAAAAAAGTTATATTTCACAAGAACCAATCTACTGCACTGGAAATTTGCCAGCGAAGGACTTCGAGTAAAATTTTACAAGGCGATCAAAGTAAGGCTGTGGAAATCTTCTGGCTGTAAATCTCAAATACGATACATGAGATCTCTGGTATGCTTTCCGGTTAATTTTGACTTTTAAGTTTGTTCGGGTCGTTTGTTTTTGCTTTCGTGGATTCTTCATA